GGGACTCCAGGATCATGACCTGAGCCGAAGGCAGTCGCTTAACCAACTGAGCCAACCAGGCGCCCGAAAAACAGACTTTTAGAAAGGCCCTTTGTGTTCAAGAAGACACAGCAGTGAACTGGAAAACATCCACGTATTGTGTTCACTTTTTTGTGTTGTTATGTTCACTTTTTCAAGATGTGATCATTTATAATATAGAGTGCCAATCCTGGCCTGAGGGATCATTCTGGTCTGGGGTCCTTGGCTGTGCCATTGTAATCCTACAGAGTTTCTTCATTTGACAAATCGCCCTATACCCTGGAACGTGTAAGAGTGGGCTTTGCTTGCTATTGGTTTAATGTGTTGCTAGAGAGAATGGACTTTTTTCTGCGCTACTCCTCTCAATATTACTTTGAAGGGAAGGAGATTCCTCAGCTAGCTGCCAAGCAACTCTCCAGGGAAATCTTAGACCTTCTGCAAGTGAAGGTGACAGCTCAGTAGATGGCGCTCTTCCATCTAAGTCAGTATCCAAGAGTGCTGCTGGGACCCTGGGCTTTAGCATGAACAGATCCAGATCATCCCTCTTGTGACTTACTCTGTTAGAGGGGCTGGCGTTGACATCAGAGTCTGGGTAAATTCTTATCTACCTAAAATTCCACTATCATGATACCAGTTACATAGCTTTTTACTTTTGAAACAGTGACAACTATTTTGTTCCTACCTTTAGTAATTTTTCAAACTGGGTATGTGTACTACAAAGAGGATCCTACATCAATGCTACCAAGTGACCACACTTCTGATAATTTTTTTGTTGTTGTAGAGTCTGTAGCTCGTTCAAGCAAACTGCTGGGTTGGTGCCAAAGGCAGACAGATGGCTATGCAGGGGTAAATGTGACAGATCTCACTATGTCTTGGAAAAGTGGACTGGCCTTATGTGCGATCATCCATAGATACCGCCCTGATCTGATGTAAGTTGTGACAAACTTTGTGTTTCATTTTGTATTCCCTCAGGACCTCAGAGTATTTTGCTATCAGCCAAATTTTATATTTTTATCTAGAATGAGATACATAGCAAAATACTTTTTTCTAGAAGGCAGTGATTAATTTCAGTTTAGTTATATTTAAAACTTCTGTCAAGCATCATGTAGCTGAATCCAGCTGAGGTTTTAAAAATCACAGCACTCAGAAGGTCAAAAACTGGTTTTAACACCCACCTGGGCCTATTAACATCACACAAAGGAAAACTCTGTTTATTGGCCCCAGGTTGAACTCTTTATTTCGGTCAGCTATCTCGCAGATGCTGTTGGTCATAAGGAAAACCTCACTAGAACATTTGGCTGGCTGAAGGCAAATATGTCACGACCAGCAAGACAGAAAATGGTGAATACTTACCCGATTTATCATAGTTCATTGGTATTATCTCTGTTAAGAATTGCGCCTCTTGCAAATATACTCTGCCCAGGCCCACAAGATTCAGGCCACTTTACCCACTTGTATCAGTGACACCTTCTCTTTTGGCCATTCTTTACTCACCTAAATGCAGAATCACTACAATAGGATGACCCCAGGTCAACTACAGTAACCAGTGCACTCAGATTTCCCCCATAGGTATTTGTTACCATGGAAGCCAAACAAGAAGATCCAGAAACAGAAGAAAAGCCTGTTAAATTATCCTGGCTGCCTGTCCTTTTATCATTAGGGCCCAGATTTGTGCGTTTGCTTTAATGATTGCTTAAGGAAACCTAAGAAACATAGTTCCTATTTATATTAGGTTATAAATTAATGAGGCAAGAGCTAGTAGAAATAGCCCTACATATAGTATGCTTTAGGAATGGGAATTTCTGATTTGTTTGGATAAAGCTAAGTGACCTCCAGTGCTCCTGTCCCTTAGCTAATGCAGAGGTTGGTGAATGGTAAGTGAAAGTAATCCCCCCTCCCCCCGATCAAGAAAGGATGGGAGAGGAAGAGGGAATAGTTTCAGGATTGTGATGAATGGCACAGAATGCTTTAAAAGAAGACTGAATCCGTTCTCTTCCAAAGGGAAGTCAGGAAAGAAAAGGAGATGGAGGCAAAAGTAGCTGAAGGGAACCTAGCAGGTGAGGTTGGGGGGTGGTAAAGGGAGAAGGCTGCCTGCAGAAGGTCTGGGGAAGTTCTGTGTAACAGAACACAAAGCAGTGAGTAGGTGATTTGGCACTCTTTAGCCTACAATGACTTCATTCAGGATGAGGCCTTCCTGGTTTAATAGGCTTAATCTATAGAGAAAAGGCATTTAGAAAAATGAAAACCTTGCTACGGAGTCAGTAGTAGGTTAACACAAAATAAGGCCTGCCCAGTTGATCTGCAATCACCTCTTAAAGAAGAATACTATCAGTCTTTACTTGATCGAATGGCAAGAAGTTTGAGACCCAGGGGGAAGTGTTTGTTAATTTAAATACTTGGGAAAACTCAGGAAGTTTAGCAGTGGAAAAATCTTTTGAGGAAGGTTTTGGAATTTCCCTTCAAGTAGAAGGCTGAGTAAGATTTACCAGAGCTGATGCAGTGCATCAACAGCACATCTGGTCCAAACGACACAGCGAGTGATAGTCCTAGGCCTTTAGAAGCAGTCTGGTCCAAATTGGATATTTATCATTATTGAGCATTAGTTTAATATGTACAGGTCACATACAAGGTACAAGAGGATATGCAGTAAAGATAGTTCTATTCTTGAGCTTACCTTTTAGTAAGAAATTTATGTTATTGGGAAAATGAGAGTAGTTCTTCAACTTTTGCCCCCTTTTTTCCTTCCCGAGTAGATCTTTAATCATTTCTTCTCCTTGAGGATGATTTGCATTTTCTTAGTGAAAGGGAGGAGACCAAAAGGTGAGATGAACAGGTTGGCTGTCAGATTGCGGTGATAGCCCCGCACCCTGGATTGTAGCTGAAAGACTAAAAAATGATGATGACTCCACTGATACTGTGTTTTCTGGCCTGAGGACAAGCAGCCCTTGTTGATATGTTTTTCTCATTCTGTTTCTTAGAGATTTTGATTCTTTGGATGAGCAAAATGTGGAGAAGAATAACCAGCTGGCCTTTGATATTGCCGAGAAGGAGCTGGGCATTTCTCCCATCATGACAGGCAAAGAAATGGCCTCGGTGGGGGAGCCTGACAAGCTTTCTATGGTGATGTACCTGACTCAGTTCTACGAGATGTTCAAGGACTCACTCCCCTCCAGTGGTAAGGGGCTGGTGGCCGCTGCTATGGAAGGCCTCCATTTCTTTTTTGTTGTTGCCTGGCTTTTCTTTCTTCTAACCATGTCCTTCATCAATACCACCAAAAGGAAACCTGCACTTACTCTATGTTGGCTGTCCGGGTAAGGCCCTAGAACTTTGCTCCATTATTTTTTCCTTCTCTACTAGTATATTCTCAGCCATTCTTTCTTTTCCCAAACTTTCTCACTAAATCTATAAATATGCAAAAATCATTCCTTTGCAAAATGTTTGCCTTGACTCTACTACTTTCTCATACCCTTTCTCTCCGAACCAGGCTTTTTGAAAGGTGGTTAGTACTTACTAGGATCTCTACCTTCTTTTTTTTTTTTTTTTTAAAGATTTTATTTATATATTTGACAGAGAGAGAGAGAGAGAGCGCACACAAGCACAAGCAGGGGAAGCAGGAGAGGAAGAAGCAGGCTTCCCGTCAAGCAGGGAGCCTGACGTGGGGCTCAATCCCAGGACCCTGGGATCATGACCTGAGCTGAAGGCAGCCGTTTAACAGACTGAGCACCCGGGCGCCCCAAAGAGCCGTCATTTCTTAAAATATTAACTGGAGTTTCAGTTAAGAAAAAAAGGGGCAGTAGAGTGTGGAGGGAGTTCCTTGGTCACATACATTAGAAAAATGCTACCTTATATTGTTCCGCCTTAGAGAATCACAGTGTACCTTAACAAGCTAAAGGCTCTGAAAAATCCTGAAGTAGTTAAGCTCACATAATTTTCTGTAACTGGACATTTCCCAAACTTACTCGGTCATCAAACTATTTTTCGAAGTAACAATAGCATCACAAAGAACTCCTCCTCTGTGAGACTTTTTTTTTTTTTTTTTTTACAACATAGTGATTTGATAAGTTTTTTTATTATTATTACTATGTTATGTTAATCACCATACATCATTAGTTTTTGATGTAGTGTTCCATGATTCACTATTTACGTATAACACCCAGTGCTCCATGCAGAACGTGCCCTCTTTAATATGCATCACCAGGCTAACCCATCCTCCCACCCCCCTCCCCTCTAGAACCCTCAGTTTGTTTTTCAGAGTCCATTGTCTCTCATGGTTCATCTCCCCCTCCTATTTCCCCCCCTTCATTCTTCCCCTTCTGCTATCCTCTTCTTCTTCTTCTTTTTTTTTTTAACATATAATGTATTATTTGTTTCAGAGGTACAGGTCTGTGATTCAACAGTCTTGCACAATTCATAGCACTCACCATAGCACATACCCTCCCCAATGTCTATCACCCAGCCATCCCATCCCTTCCACCCCCCACCACTCCAGCAACCCTCAGTTTGTTTCCTGAGATTAAGAATTCCTCATATCGGTGAGGACCTCTACCTTCTAAGGTAACTTCTTTGTAACACTTCGCAGCCCAGCTTCTTTTTTACTGCTCTGCCAAAACTGTTCTCTACAGTCATGAAGAATCACCAAATCCTCATTCTTTTCTCATTTTGCTTCGCTCACGCACTTGGCTTTTCTGCATTATTCAGCACTATGGAATTATGTCCTTTTTCTTGAAATTCCGTCTTCTCATTGGCCTCTCTGGTCCTGTACTTGTTTGCTTCATTCTCTTTCTTCTGTAACCGTTCCTTCTCTGCCTTCTCTCTCTTCTCCAACCTTTTGGTGTTTTTCTGTCTTTGGCCCTCAGCCTGCTGCCTCAGTCTACCAGAATGCTACCAAAAAAAATATTCCTGTTGTCATTTATTGTCCCTGGAGTAAGTATACTTAATGCTTTAGAGTGTTGACCATGGTACCCAACTTGGATTTATTTCCCAGTACTTCCACCTGTTTGACCTTAGGCAAGTTACTAAATTTCCCTGTGCCTCAGTTTCCTCATCCATAAACTGGATTTTATGTACATATAACATAAAACTGTGATGTGCTAAGGAGAATGTTTGGCAAACAGAAGCATTTAATATTAGCAGTATAGTACTAGTTTCAGTACTTTTAAAATTACTATTGTTACTAATAAAACATTGGAATACACAGAGTTTGTGGTTCTCCAGTGTCTTCCAGCCTATGTACTCTTATAGATGTCCATGGCTTTTTCTGACCAGATATGCAGTTCTTACAATAGGAATCCACAACTCTAACATCAGTATACCTATTTAGGGAGAGCCTTCCCATTATGTGCACCTAAGGATATGGAGTCTGCATAATCAAAGGCAATGACCCTAAGCTATATACCCTTCCTCCTTTTCTCCCTCTACCTTGAAATTTTTATCACGAAGGTGAGGCTTTAGCAGTCTGTTATAACTAACAATCATAGGCAGATTCCAACTTTTGAAAAGGAAAAGTGGAGGGTTTTGTGACCGAAGTGGACTGGAAAAAAGAGTTGGTTCTGTTAACATGGATGGAAAAGAGAAAGGTCAACATCCAGACCTTAGTGGAATTTCCTGCTGAGTTCCTCTTGCTTTTGTCAAAGCAGATGAACCTTTAGAGTTTTCTGAGGTTCTATGAGCCTCCTGCAGGGAGTGTAGTTCTGGTCAGTACTTTGAAGCCCCCTCCAGGGCTGTGCTCAACATTGCTTCCTGTTTACAGAGGCCCTGGACCTGAATGCTGAGGAGAAAGCAGTTCTTATAGCCAGCACCAAATCCCCCATCTCCTTCCTCAGCAAACTTGGACAGACCATCTCTCGGAAGCGTTCTCCCAAGGTAAATGGAAGAGGTTTGGGGGGCACCTGGGTGGCTCAGTTGGTTAAGCGTCTGCCTTCGGCTCAGCATGATTTTGGGGTCCTGGGATCGAGCCCCACATCGGGCTCCCTGCTTGGCGGGAGCTTCTCCCTCTCCCACTCCCCCTGCTTGTGCTCTCTCTCTCTCTCTCTGTCAAATAAATAAAATCTTAAAAAAAAAAAAAAAATGGAAGAGGTTTTTGACCTGCTACCAACCTAAAGGCGAGGTATGGTGACTAGGATAATGCAGTCTCCCTCATCTCTTGGTATAGGATAAAAAGGAAAAGGACTTGGATGGTGCTGGAAAGAGGAGAAAGACCAGTCAGTCGGAAGAGGTAAGAATTATCTGGGATTTGCTGGAATAGTCATACTGAATTGCCCTTTTGGGCTGAAGTCAATTTCCAAATTGGTATTGCTAGATCTTTTCATACTCATTTTTATGAGAATTTCTGTGGACAGCTGCTCTTTCAGTGGGCTGTTGCTTTTGTTCAGTGTTTCGGAGAGCAGCTAAAGGAGCATACACACACGTGCACTAGTGCTTTCCTCTCTCTTTAGAAGTTTACATTTGGCCGGAGGCGGTGGCTTTCCTGAGATAGGACAACACCAGCCCAAGTCCGAGTACCTCTTTGTACTGCCCCATGCACCAGAGTCTTGCTGACTGCATGTTGATACTAGAACCTTGAAGAGAGCTGTTAAGCTTAACCTAAAGCAGAAATAGCAGCCACCATGCCACGCACTGGCTTCACTCCTTCTTTGAGGGAAGGGCATTTGTAGGGGGCTCCTCTAACCGAGGCCGGTTTTTGGGTGTTGACGTTTGTCAGGAGGATGCGCCCCGGGGCTACAGAGGAGGAAGGCCCACACTGGTGAGCACTCTGACAGACAGGAGGATGGATGTGGCCCTTGGCAATCAGAACAAAGTGAAGTACATGGCAACCCAGCTGCTGGCCAAATTTGAAGAGAATGCACCCCCACAGTCCACTGGCATGAGGAGACAGGTAAACCCCACTTCGTATCTCACCCATCCACGCTTGGTCTGGCCATATAGGAAGGAGGGGTCTTCTCAGTCAAATGAAGTGGGATGAGGTGTGTCTCAGCGAGCACTCATGTGCTCAAGACTATGTCTGGTTTTCTTTTTGTCTGACTGTGGCAGAGAAAAGCATTTTATAAGCTCCTCCTATGCTTTCAGCACTGCTTTCTCCTCACCATTCATGTCTGAGGTGTTTGTGGCAAAAATTCAGAAGAGGAATTTAAAGTTTTATATATATCTATACATATTTATATGCTCACATATGTGCAGACATATTTGAATTATAGAAGAGGTAGATGCTTATTGAGGAAAATCCTGGAGAAAATAATAAAGGTAATCAAGACACCTCTAATTCTGTTAACATTTTGTTATATTTCTTTCTAGTCTGTTTTCAGTGCATTGAGGTCATTCGGAATATACACTTTCTGTTCTGCTTTGTTCATGTAACTTTGGGCATATTCCCATATTGTTCCAAACTCTACAAGCATCTTCCAATATGTGTGTGTACGATGCTTTTCTTCACTCTTCCTCTAGTGTTGGATGTTTTTGTTGTTGCTCATCTTTCATGACAAAGTACAGAGATAATAAATGTTCTTGTGATAAATCTTCTTTTGTGTGTTGCGGATGGTTTTCATAGGCTATCCTCAAACTAGGTCAGGAGTTATGAACACTTTAAAGAGTCATCATGGATACTAACTTGAGAGTGCTAGACAGGAGCATTTGACTTGAGATCTTTGTTGGGTCTTGTCCCTCCTCTTGCTTACCTGAAAGTCACTAAGACTTCTTATAAGAGGAGGTCCTGGGATTTGGAGATTAACACAGGAAGTTTCTTATAAAACTCCCTAATGACCTGAGAGAACATCCAAAGGAAAGGGAGCCCATTCTTTTTATTCTTTTACTCTCTTTCTTCAACTTTTCCATACATATCAGCCATTGTTCTCAGGACCAGGGGTGGGGAGGGTGGGTAATGACTTTGCTTGGAGTCTGGCCATAATTAACTTCTTCTCACATTTAGCCTTTGGTTATTAATTTTTACACTCCAGTCATATGTATTGTGGCTCATAGAGAGGAATAATAATATTCATTGGTAGACATCTGAGGTTGCCTGGCAGCTCTAGCAACCGCGGGATCTGCCCCATCTCAGGAGATCTGGAATGCTCTCCATGGGAGGAAGTCTGCCCCTAAGGGAAGGTTGTGTTCATCATTTTGAGTAGAAAGATTAGTTTTCCAAACCAGAATTAGTAGTTTAGGTTCAGAGCTTTGAGCTAGGGAAGAGGAGAGTGAAAATTACAGCTTCTGATTTCCTCGTTTTTTCCTTTTGCATTTACTTTTAGTTTGTGGGGTTGGGGTATTTTGTTTCCTTTGTAAATGTAACTTTCTAAGAATTAATTCTGTGTCTGCCCCCACTCCCCGATCCTAGATGTGTGTATGTCCACCGTGAGTATCTTTTTTGTGTCTTCTCCTACTTTAATGTATTTTATTTTGTTTTGTCTCCATGTCCTGTCCCCCACCCATACTTGGCCTGTGTGTCACAGCCAACACAAGAGCGTGGGGTCAGCCAGCCGTCCTGCTGTCTTCCTGAGCAGGGTCGCCCTGCTCCCACCCCCCAGTGGAAACAGGTAAAGGAGCTGCCCAGGGACCAGAATGGGTGCTGCTTCCCTGGGCCTTCCCACCCTACTCATTCCTCTGCGTCAGCCAGGGCTGAGGCCTACACTTTAGAATCCTAGCTCCCAAGGACAGGAAGCTTCTGTACTCATTTGAGTAGCAGCTCTAGGGAAAAGTTTAACAGACAGTCCTGATTGTATTGTATGATTTGTTTAACTCCTTGGGATTTGAGAAATCAGTTAAAAGAGTAGGTGGTTAATCTGGTGTTGAAACTAGCTGAAGCTGTATGGGAAGTTGTTCCAGATACCTTAGCCTCTCTGGTTTTACCACCATAGCCCTTGTCCCAAGTTGACTTTTTGCTTACATGTGTCCTTGTAACTAGTGGAGGGAGAATCCTGAACTCAGCAAGGCTGAGAATTGGGGCATTGGAGCCTTTCACATTAAATAGGAAAATGTTAGCCAAGAAATATCTTAAACTATGATTTTTATTTGTTTCAGACCCTCGACAAAGATGAGCATGGGCATTTTCTTGGCGTTTTGTCTCCATTTAAAATACTCCTTGAAAATTTTCAGTAAATTTTTCACAGGATCTCCTAGAAAGCTGCTTCTAAGCAGTATTGGATAGGACAGAAGAAGTGGGTGGAAGGATGGCACCTCATTGATAATAGGAAACCCATCAGAAGGATTGGGGCCTCTATTTTCTCCCAAGTCACAGTTGAGCAAGTTCCTCCTCTGTGAGTGCAGCCTGGATTCTCTGTCTTGTGGTTTGGTATCATCTAGGACTAAGATTCTGAGAGGTCAGGTGAGCTGACTCTCGATTTCTTCTTGTGCTATCGAGCGCCAGCTAGTGCTGGGAGGTGCTGGGGAGTGGCAAGTGGATTTTATTTGAATTACATTCAGGGCAAAAGTTTCCTTTCTAACCTCTTTTAAATTAAATAATATGCCACATTAAAGGCAGGGCCCCTGAGGCTGAGATGGAAGCCGGGGAGCAATGTCCAAACTCACACAGAAGCCAAGCTGCTTCTTTCTCTGTGTTTAGAGGAGGTCTTCTGGAAAACAAATAAACAAGACTCATTGGAAAATCCATTTTATTTTCTTACGCTTTGCCTTGAAATCTAGGTGGAGTGTATGATTTGAAAGGTAATTTTTAGTTGAGGATCTGCTGAAGGAGAAAATGAACTCTAAACTAGATTCCCCCAAACTCTAGATTCTGACAGTGTTCAACAAGGTCGCCTGAGATAGGAGGAGCAATGGGGAAGGGAAGTCAGTTGTAACACGTGTAGTGGATGAACAGATGACTTTAACTGTCATGTGCCCAGGGCAGCTTTGGGTTGACTTGCTGGGAAGTCTCAAGGGTATTAAATGTGACCCGAGGAGCCTGGCTCAGCCAAGCCTCTGTTTTGGTGAAGACTGGCATATCAGCTCATCACCTGATGGATCATCAGGAGCTTGGTGTTTGTGGGCCTGCTTGTGTGTCCCCTGTTGATGAAGCATCTGATGGCCTCTGACCTTGTGCGGGGTGCTACATGGAGACGTAACAGCTAGGTTGTCATCTGGGTAATTTATGATCACAGTCAGTGAAGTAGAATATAGCTAGGCTCTAGAGGCAGCAGTCAAACCTGGGTTCTGTGGAGTGGGCACCAGGGATTACAGTTGGAAAGAATATCTGGGTACATCTCAGTGAGTGAAAAACCATGAGCAATGAAAATCCTATAGATCATTGCTATATAGAGTTGAAAATAGTAAATTTACTTGGCTGTGAAACAACTGTAAGTCACAGTTACATGTAATTTTTCCTCAACACTAAATCAAGGATGGTATCATGAGTCTTGGCCCTGTAAATTTATCTCCTGAGAGAAGATTCTGTAACATTCTGGTGCTCCAGAAACATGGGAACAGAGGCACTTTGGTGGTGTATACCATTGGCCCTCTGCTTCTGACTCATCCTGACGATGGCCTTCTTTAGCTCCCTTTAGGAATGAGGGGGGCTTACCAGCGATACCTTGCCATGACTCACTTTTTGTTTTTCTTGAAGAGGTTTGGATTGAGGCAGGAGGGTGTGGCAAGCACAGCAATCAATGGTGGCTGAGTTGGCGCAAGGATCGGTTTTAACTTAGGTCATGGTATGGAAGAGGGAAAATGAATAACAACTTTGCTTGCCGGTGACTTCTCTTTTTTACCTTCCTTTGTAAACACTTTGGCTCTTCCCTCCCCACCCTTCTGCCTTTTGGTCTCAGAAATGCGTCCGGCAGGCAAACTGCACATTAATCAGCCTTGGTTTGGAAGTAAATTGTCATGAGAGGTTGGAACACAGGGGGTCTGTATCCCCTGGCCTCACAGCCTCCACAGCTTTTTCTCCTTCCCAGGCTTCCTCTGTGTGCTGCCCCACATGGTCATTCTGGGCATGAGGAAATGGAGGATTCCTCTGGCCTAGAAACAAGTAATTGTTTCTTAAGTACCGAAAAGTTCTCTAAATCACAGATTCACAGGAAGGGAATACAATGGAGAGGGGCAAAATGGGGAAATAATCTATGAATATATATGGTGTTCGGTTAGTGACAGATGTACTTATATTCTTATATTCTGTTTCCTGTACTTCCTTGTATTTCCCTGGTGGTTTTCCAGAACCTTTTAAGTGCACTCGAGGGGCTGAGGAGAGGGAAGCCATGGCAGGGTGTTGTCTTGAGCGGGCCCTCAAGGAGAGTGCCACTTTGCTGCTGGTGGGTGTACAGGTGGCGGAGCCCTCGGGAGGCGGTCACCACACTCCCCTTGTGATGGTTGGCCTGTGTGCCCTTTCTCTCTACCTACATCCTAGCTCATTTCTTCTATCCTCAACTTCCCTGATAAAACCAACAAAGAATAATATATCCTTGATCCCTGGCATTTAGAAAGTGTTACACTGTAAGTTCTGCCCCAAGACCAGCTACAGATACTACCCATGTGGTCTGCACTTACCAGATAGCGCGAGTATGGCATGGAAGCCCGCCGCCGACTGTGACAAGCTGTCCTCCCTGACCATACAGCCATTGCTGTGGACGATGGAGAGGCACGGGAGGGATGGCTTTGGTGAATGCTCTTAATCCTTCCAGAACCAGCCTAAACATGGCCCCTGTTTCACCATTGTTCTCTCTGTTTGTGTCTGTTGGTGTAAAAGCGACGGGAAAAGGAGCGTTCTCGGACCTGCCCTAAAAAAGTGATCACACTCTCTCCTCCCCCTACTCCACCTCCCTGTCGGGCGCCTGGCAGCCAGCAGGTGATCTTTTCTGCATGCTCTGTGGTCCTCGTCTCTGTCTTCCTGCCTGCCTGCGTAGGTGGCTAGGGTAGAGACCAAATCAGGATTCCCTCTTTTCAGAGCTAACAATTAAAAAAACAGAAAGACCAGGGGCACCTGGGTGGCTCAGTCGTTAGGCATCTGCCTTCGGCTCAGGTCATGATCCCAGGGTCCTGGGATCAAGCCCTGTATTGGGCTCCCTGCTCCGCCGGAGGCCTGCTTCTCCCTCTCTTACTCCCCCTGCTTGTGTTCCCTCTCTCGCTGTGTCTCTCTCTGTCAAATAAATAAATAAAATCTTTAAAAACAACAACAAGAAAAAAAACCCAGAAAGACCATTTGTAGCAGAAGCAACCTTACTGCTACAAATGAACAATTCCCGATCAGACCCCAGGATAGCACATAATACATTCAAACACTAGCTGGTTTAATCTAGCCCCACATCATAGCAAAACAACTATGCAAGCAGAGACTAAAACTATTATTTGTCACAGATGCACAGTCCCCAAAGCCCTGGAGAGCAACACATTTTTTATATAACCTCATTTAAAGCAGCCACTTTTGTCTTGCTACCCAAGGAGATATAATTAAGATGGGCTTTTGGAAGCCTTTTATAGGGCCTCACTTTATGAATTTGGTTCCTTCTGATTTGGAGAGCCCTGCTTCTTGCTTATCCAACTTGGGCCAGCAAACACCTGCCCTTCCCGTCTACCCATTCACACTCCACGTAGATTATTTGAAAAATGCTTTATAGAGCAGTTAACCACAGACATGATTAAAGAGGACAACAAGCATACTTATATAAAGTATATTTATAGAATATAAAGTGACCTTTGTAGGATATCCCTATAAAATAAGATACTAATTTTAAAGGCAGGAACTATGGAAAGATATTTTCTCAACTAAGGTGGCCTATTTAAAAGGTGACCCCTTGTAATGTGTCTGATTGTTAAAGACCCACACTGTGTACCTGGGTCTAAGAAGTGAGCCACTGTAGGTTTAGCGATTATGCTATGCCTTGTCTCTACATAAGAACTAAAACTTAGATCCAGGTGGTATTCTCAGTTCTTGCTGTGTTATCTCAATCAATTCTCACAATAACCCTACAAGGAAGGTACTATTATCACCTCCATTTTACGTATGAGGAGACTGAGGCATAGGGTAAGGAGGCCAAGCACTTGGTACAAGTTCACACAGTAAGTAATGGAGCCAGGAGTTGAATCTGGGTGATGTGACTTGAGCCCAAGCTCTGGCCTCATCCTGCCTGTGGAGACAATATGCCCATGGGTCACATTACAGGCTTTGGATTAGTTTTTCCACCAGCACACAGCCATAAGCTGAATCCTCAGCAATAATCCAAAGAGTGATAAGAGTAGCCTTCCCTTCTCCCACGTGATTGCTGATAGTGGTTTCCTCAGGTCGGTGGAGGCAGCCATATATATGCCTGTCTTCAGGATTTCCATCCCTGTCATGTACACATTCCTGTCTGCTGACTGAAAATGCTTCCAGTTGTCCACGTTTCCCTTTAACAAATAATGCTTTGGTCCCATGTTCTTGTTCAGGGACCACTCCCCACCCTGGAGTTTCCTCTGGACTGTTGTAACGGCCATTTGTTCCAGGCAGTTTCCATCTCCCCACCTTTCCTTTCTAATGTCTTGTTGTGGAAAGCTTCACCCTTCTAACCGGCCTCTCCTATTAAGCCTCTGATCTTGTGCCACTGTGTGAAAGAAATACGTTTGTTCCACTTTGGTACTAACCATAGTTCTTTATATATGTGGCTGACCTTACTGGAGGCCAGATGGACAGAGTGCTGGACAGAGAGTTGTCCTAGGGTCAACTGTGGGACGTGGGATTTGATAGAGATGGGAGTGTGGTTACCTGGGGTGGGGATCTGTCAGGGGCAGGGGATATGTGTTGAAATGAATTCTGAATTTCTGGCACTCTCACTTAGTAGGTCCATATAGAACATTTGGATGGAGCTTAAGTTTCTACTTTGTTGCCAACAGACATACAGGGATCTTGATGCTGACAGCCGTGGCAAGCAGAGTCCCCACCATGAGAGGGTAAAAGAGCATGAACCGTGGCATGGGATGCTGAGGGCCAAACAGATGGGGCACGCTGTGGTGGTGGGGCAGAGGGAAGGTGGGAATGGTCCCTGCTCCCCTTGCTTTGTGCACACTCTTGTCACCCAGCCAAGAGCAAGAATTCTTGTTGCTAACCGTGTTGACCCATGTATATAGCATTCACAGGAGAGCGTTCATCTGTCCAACATTCAGATCAGTAAGCAGGTGGCATTTGCTTCTGTCTTTTGATATTCAGGGTTCTAGAGGTAGAAATACTGTGAGAGCCAAAGCTCTTACTGGTGTAGGGATTTTGCAAGTATGAAGAGATGGAGGGGAAGGAAGGCGGTGACAAGATGCGGGTATGTAATAAAAAGGTTTAGCTACTCTTTTCTGAAAAACTGAAGGGGCAATTAGTGAATACACCTGGCCATCATATCATTTGACAAATAGCAGAAATGCCCATTTTAAAAAGCCTGCTTATTTTATGAAACTTTTTGGGTTGTTATTGTTACCCTTAAACCCGGTCCCTGAGTGGGTATAGCTCTGCAGCAAGAGTGAAGAATCATCTCTTAATTTCGCATGGGCCTTTTTCTTTTATTTTTACCTCTCTTTCTGCTTTTGCTCTCTGAGAAATAGAGTCACAGCTACGGAAGCTAGTGCTGTCTCCCTAGGCCCTGTTACCATGTGAGGAGCAGGCGGTCTGTGTGCTGCCAGGACCACACGTGGATCGGTGCTGGGTGAGGGGGAAGAGACCGGGACGGAGGTGGAAAGAGGGCATCCCTTTCATCTCCTCACGCACAGCCTTGCTCTGCTTCCTTACCTTCTGCAGGGGCTGCTTCCTCCCATGAGCACTGTGTGTGCCCAGCCTCTTTCTTCTTCCCAGGCTATATTCCTTTCAAAAAGAAAACTAGGCATTTTCATGGAGAAGGGCAAGCCGTGCATTTCAGGGCATGCATATTTAATGAGGTCCTGATGATTTTTCATGAAACAGTGCCTAAGCAAAGAAGAACAGAGGGAAGTGTGTCGAGGAAAAGGAGAGATGGAGAGATGGGCAGGGAGAAGCTGTCAGACGTCTGGGGCTGCAGTGCCCAGAGGAAAGGTAGCATTTTCCCAGTGAGCTGCTTTCTGGATTCTTCACTTCAGGGTTCCTGTCTAGATACCTTTAAGGGTTACCATTTATGTTCTCTTCCAAGATTTTCTCTCCACTATTCCATAATCTTGCCTGTGAACTCACCTGCTCCTTCACCTTCCCACCCCCAGTCTTCCCATCATCTTCACTGCTTTGCCATCTCTGGCGGGGAGCTGCCTTCTGTCTTGTTTCTCTCTGGTGGGTGGTACTCTTCTACAGAGATTCCCGCCCCCCCCCCGCCCCCGCCCCGGGGCCTATGTTTCTGAGCCTGCCCCATGTGCTGAGCTGAGGGCCAGTGAGCTGGCTGAGCATCTGGAGCACCCGTTAAAGCTATGAAGTTAATGGGGGCTCTGAACTGGGGGTGCAGTGCATCTGCTTGGAGCTAAAGGGACAGAGGGCTGGCTTCTCTTACCATGACAGTACCTCTTCCTTCTACCCTGCAAGTACTTCACCCTGAACCTGGTAGGAAACTAAGCAGTTAACACTTGCCAGAGCTCTCAGCCCCCTTCTCCCTCTCTGGGGACTGGACGGCTCCTGGCTGCATGGGCCCCGGAGGATCCCGGCTTACTTTTGTTACACATGCTGCATGCAGTCCGCAGAGGATGTGGGATCTTTTCTCCTGATCATTGCTGGGATTTGGCTGGCTCCTTGGCAGGCAGTGTTTCTCTGAGCACTGGCAATAAGAAGAGGCAAAGCCACATTTCTGGCCTTTATGGAGAAGGAGTCAGCTTCACTCTAGATTTGCTATCCCTGTTCACTGTTTGTAAGATGGTAGAATCTCCTTCTGCCCAGAAATTCCAGCTCAAGCCAATGAGGGGCTCTGCAGAGCATAAGGAGTGTGTGTGTGAGCAGGACACCACGTCTGCCCTCTGCCACTTCCTGGCTGGCAGCGTTTTCCACTTGGGGTGAATTGAATAAAACCACCAAACAGGAGAAGACAAGGCTTGCAGAGGAGGCTCACAACTACAGTGACCGTGTTCCAGAGCAAGCTTCACTATAAGCATGAGGCAAGGGTGAGCTAAAAGCAAAATGGAAGCCTTGAATGAGCCATTCATGCTTTTGGGAATATTTCTTTACTTTGTTTATTATTTAGATAAAGGTCTAAAACTCCCAAATTTCTCATATTTAGGTCACTGTGTAACTTTATTTAACGTTTCCTTTGATTTCTTTTTTTCTCCATCTTGTATTTTGTAGCCAGAGCCTGAACCTTCTCGTCGATTCTTTGTTGACCAGTGGGAGCTTTCTCTTAGTCTCCGCTCCTCCACCCGCCCCGCTTCTCCTTCCTCTGACTCCCTCCGACAGGTAGCACAGCCTGGAACTTGGCAAAGCTCTTTCCTCTTCAGCCTCTCTTCAGCCTCTCCTCAGTTCACCTATACAAATGTCATGTGGCCCAATGAGGTTGCAGAGCTCTTAACTTTGGCCTGTCTTCTGTGGGAATCCACCTGTGTCTGTCTGTTTTGCATGTAAGGTCCAAAGGCATACACCAAAGTTACAGAGGCTGCTAGCTTTCATGGCATCAAATTCTATCAAATAAACCCACTTTTTTTATATTTCAACTATATCGAATAATAAAGTTTTCAGCCATTAGCTTTTAAAATTCCAAATGTCTTCATATTAATACGTATGACAAAATATGGACCATAGTGTAATTAAATCTCTTAAATGGAGTGGTGATTATGCAGTATTCTGGGTGCCTCTTGAATTGTAATCATTTGAAGAATGAGCCCTGCTTCTTCCTACAATGGAACTGATCCAGCTGTGGAGTAGCTTAGAGAGTGATTGGCAGGTCTTTTTGCCCTGTTTGTGTTTCCCATTCTCAAGCAGTCTATGCAGTACGTGTGCGGAAGCACATGCATGTGTGGTGGCAAAAGTATAAGTCTAACAATTGCTACATTGAGACTCTTTCTTAAGATTGGGGAGAAGGAAACCATCTGCTTTTCTTGCCAGAAAAAATAGAACTTGAGTCTCCACCTCTCTTGGGGGATGCTTGTCAGTATTACCACATCGCTGAGAACTGAATGTGACCAATGCCTTTGCATGCAGGCAGCCCTGGGCTGTATGTATTTGCTGAGGATGCCGGTTCTTGGTGGGAGGGAAGGGTCCTGGCTGAGCAGTGAGGACCCAGGGTTTGCTCAGCGTCCCAGCCTCATGTGTGACATCTGGCCTACACTCTCACTTACTTTCTGCAGAATGAAGCGCAATTTTCTGCACCCTCAGTGTCAGCTGTTAAATGATCTGCTCTGCTTTGCCTGGTGCCAATCTGTTCCAGGCGTAAGATTCCCTGATATCTCTAAGCTAAAGAAGGTTTAGATCTTAGAGCCACTTGTTTTTCTCGACTACTAATGGGTATAAGCTGTGAAGTTAATGAGCAAGTGGCACCAATCCTTGAAAATCTCCTCATTTTAAATTGAAAAATAGAATTGACTCCTCAGTTCCAGCGGAACCCTGGAGAATTGTTTGCTCATTTGTGCTTCTGTTATTCTCATAGAGTTCACATGGAGTTAGTTTTCCCCCAGAGCACTTCCCTTATTTGTTCCTGCCTAGCCCAGGGCATGCTGTTGCTCAGGCCCGCAATTCTCTTACACATGGCTTTGCGTGTTGTCCATTCAAACCACTTCCTAATGGAGTTGTGAACATCCCCCAAGACAACTGCCCTGGTGTGTTTCTCAGTCAGAATTAGAGTCAGGACTCCTCAAACTCGGCAGGCAGCTGTCCTATTGCACATAGTTTATGAGAGGAGTGTTGCACACACAGGGTGTCCTGATCATTTCCACGTGGAAGGGTGACTGTGGAGTCTCTAAAGGACAGCCAGCAAGGCTTTGACCTCATTCCCTGGGGACAGGCTCAAAGCTAGGCTGCCTAGCAGGAAGGCTTACAATTGAAATTTGGTAGTTTCTTGTTACTTCTTCGGCATTGCTAGAAAGAGGATTGAATTGGTTAGATTTTTTCTTTTCTCTTTTTTTAACCTATAAAAAAATAATCCCTCCTGGACTAAAAACACATTCTGATTTCCCAAGACTATACCAAACCACTTGTCTGCATGGCTGCAGGTGTTAGCCTCCTGCAGCCGAGTTTAAGAAGCCCAGCTGGGTCTAGAAGGTTTTAGCCTTAGTGCCCAGATGGAACATACAAATACCAACAGAGAGAATGGGCCGAGAAGGATTTTTCCAGATAAAGCTCAGGAATATTTGATGAATATGACAGGGGTTGTGAGCGAAGCATTAATAGGAGGAAGGTGATCATCACTAGTAAGGCTACTGGCATCTTTTACCTAAGTGGAGAGTCAGCCCTGCAAGAGTGAGCTTGGTTTCTTTCTAAATGAGGAAGTAACTTCCCAAGCCCTCCCCAGACCCAACTTGAAACATGCTGTTCATCTGGACATCTGCTGTTTTGGTAGGAGTTGTTCATCTTGAATTCTTCATATGTAATTTGAGTCACTAGGATGTGGGCCTTCTTATTCTGTTCTATATTTGTATCCATCCTGTCTTCCCACCTCCCTGAACTATATATTCCGAAAAGACATGAAAGACTAAGTTCTCCCTTACTGAATTTAATTATTCCTGCAGCCATTATTCTTACCAATGCTGATACGTCTGTGTGGACAATGACACCGTTTTTCTTACCACCAAGTTTCCCTGCTTGTGGGCACTGTGTTGGCATGGTTTGCTGCTGCACCTTGTATTCATTTTATACCTTTCAACGATTTTTTTCCCTGTCTTCTTAATTTATTTATTTTTTTCCTTCTCATTTCCCTTCATTCTGGTCATTTTATAATCTCCAACCAATAGAAGTATATAAAGATGTACACGGGCGGAGTGAGCTCATTGGCTGAGCAGATAGCCAATCAGCTTCAAAGGAAAGAACAGCCCAAAACCCTTCTAGACAAGAAGGAACTGGTAAGAGATGTGTTAAGGGCACTGTCTATCTAGATATAGCACAGCTGTGGTAAATAAACCTGGTTAATTCTAAGTAGTTTAGTAACATATATAGCCAATATATGCCATGTGGTAATTTATTTTTAGGTTATCTGAATTTTGTAACAATTTCTAGGACTGAATGGTTGTTTAGAATGTTGTGTGGAAAAACATACTTAGTATCTCTAAAAGTGATTTCTCTAGAGTCCAGGGGACCCATATCCATGTAGAACCATGTGAACACTGAAGAGGTATTTTTATGCTACCTTCAAAACAGAATTCTGCCAAAATAATTCGGTTTGATTGTTGTGAAATTCTGTAAAACCACCTGGGGTCTCCTCTCGACTGTTGATGAACATCGATTCAGAACCCAGTTCCTGCTGCTTGCTGCATAGAAGGCACATGTGACAGTCTCTGCACTCGTGCTGCTGTTTGGGGGGAGAGCCAGTAGCAAAGTGAGCCATCTTAGTCTGTCTCAAAGCAAAATCGCTTAGTGAGGGTTAGTTTCACATCTGGAGAGGGTCGTGCACCCCCTGGAGGTGAGCCTGAGAAGTGTTGCCCTAACGTGCCTCCCACTGCCCCCCATTACAGGGCTCGATAAAGAAGGAGTTCCCACAGAACTTGGGAGGCAGTGACACGTGCTATTTCTGCCGGAAGCGGGTCTATGTGATGGAAAGGCTGAGTGCTGAGGGCAAGTTCTTCCATCGGAGCTGCTTCAAATGCGAGTACTGCGCCACCACCCTGCGCCTCTCGGCCTACGCCTATGACACGGAGGACGGTAAGCCTGTTTGCACTTAGATACTGGGCCTAGGGACACTGTTTTCCATGTGAACTGATCTTAGGGCCTCTTACTGCATTCTTATATATACATTTTTTTCTGCTTCGCCTAACCCTTCCCATCCATCTCCCTCTACTCTTCTGTTTTTTTCTCTGAGACTCTTATAAATATTTCCCTAAAGTCACCAGGCTGTAGCATAGCATTACTCAGCAGTGATGGTAATGAGAATGGCATGTGTTTACCTAAATCACTTCCCTGGCTTCACAGACATGTGTTTCTTACCTCAGGGTGGGATCTTAAAATAAAAGGGACACAAAGAGGATGAGGCTTTTTTTTGTCTTTACTTTAGAGAAGGGGATATCACAGGTCTGTAGAAGTCCTATCTCTTGCCACAGGTCAGTGACAGCAAATTAAAACTGGATCTCATGTCGCCTGGGTTCTCAGACTTTGCTTCTGGAGGATGACCAAATTATGCCCATCTCTCTCTAGCATCAGCATCTCTCTGATGAATTGAGAGTTTGTTCCACAGGATCTAAATCTAATTTACTGCAGTGTTCAAGCCCTGGCCTTTCGTGGCATGTATTGTTTTTTATAATAGACCTTAATGGAGCAGAAGGTGGGGAATTATACAAATAGATGACAAAGCCTGATAGACAGACATGTCTGCCATTTGAAAACTCTTTAAGATTAATTGAAAAGGTCACCAAAGACATTGATTACTGAATTCATTCCTGTGGAGTGCTGAAGGAACTTCATGAGAGGCAGTCTTACTCATTCAAAAGTAATGAAGAGACCTAGATTAATAGGAGTCCTCACAGAGGTGGCATTATGTGACCTCTTTTTGGATTCTCAGACCCAATTCCAATGTAAGGGGGTGGGGAGTCCCTCACCCCACCAGCCCCACAACACCAAGCAAGTCTCTTTCACCAACAGGGTATATGAGAATTCAGCTCAATTCTGACACTGTCTACTCTGCCCAGAGATAGCATCAGATTCCACAGGTTAAGGGCTCAGGCCTAGAAGACTGCCCCTCATCCCCCACTTTAGACACCAGTCACAAGCCCCAGGCTGTTACTTGTGCTTCTGACCCACTAGCTACAGATTGGGGGTTCCAACAACCTCTTCCTTAGGTTCTTTTCATTTGCTAAAACGTCTCACAGAACTCAGGAAAACACTTAAGTTTACCAGTTTACTAAAGAATATGATAAAAGTTAGAAATCAACAGCCACATGAAGAGATACATAGGGCAAGGTCTGGAGAAAGGGCATAGAGCTTCCATGGGGCAACTCTCCAGGGGCGCACTGCTCTCCCTGTAGCTCGACATGTTCACCAACCCGGAAATTCTTCAGACCCCATTCTTTTGGGTTTTTATGGAGGCTTCATTGCAGTCATGTTTGACTAAGTCATTGGCCATTATTTGATTCAATCTCCAGCCCTCTCCCCTGGAGAGTTGGGGAGCACCCTAAAAAGGAGGTACCCTCTAATCCCACAGTTCGTCCTTCTGGCAACCAGCCCCTGCCCCTTGGGTGGGGTCTAAAAGTTACCTGTATTACTACAACAAAAGACACCTTTGTCTAGGGAATTCCAAGTGTTTGGAGCTGAGTCAGGAACTATGGACCTAGACCAAATGTATAGGGGAAATATATTTGGTTTTCTGATATATATGTATGTCCATTACTACACTGGTAGGTAATTTTTGACTGAGGAGACAGTTGAAGATCCTTCAAGGTCCAGCCAGTAGATCCCCAGGTATTTTTGCCCATAGATTGTGTACTCATCTTTGCCACATTCTCTTGAGGACATGGATGAAATGTAAAATGTTCCTCAAGGAGCTTACATTCTGATGGGCATGATAAGACAAGGGCACATGGAGCAACAACAGACGGTGAAGAGTATATAATTAAGGGCTAAGAGACAAAATATAGATTCTAACTTTGCAGAAGTTCAGAGGAGGAAGAAATTGATGAAGCTCCCAAGTTTTTAGGAATGACTGAACTGACCTTAGGCTAGACTCTGAGAGACAAGTATAAAATGTCTCAGTGGAGGAAGAGAGGGCATACCAGGCAAGAGAATGACAGGAGCTCAGATGGGAATGACCATGACATTGGGAGCAGATGAGGCAGGCCAGCCTGGCTGGGTGCATTGTTGTTGACTGGGGCGGGGAGGACAACAGATCTAAACAAGCTCCCCAAATTCTAACCCAAATGAATTTTTCATCAACCCAGCCCCTCCACAAAAGACAGATGAACTAGAGAAAAGAATGGAATTTTAGGGATCCTAAAGCTTTAGTCTGTTCTTTATCCACATTACTGTGTGACTCAGAAATCTAACTGAAGGGCCTCAGATAAGAAAAAGGGAAGTCATAGGCCGTTTGTAGGAGAAAAGAAGTAACCCAGGCACTGTGGTGGGCCCCTCTAATACATACCATGTCCTTCTGTCCTCACAACAACCCTATACAGTAACTAGTTTTATTATTGCAATTTTACAAATCAGGAAGCGAATTCAGAGAAGTCATAAGTTCCTTGTTCAAGTTCACACAAAACTAGTAATTGCTGGTTTGCACAGAATGACCTCTGGGATCCCTTCCAGGTCAGACATTCTGGGATTAGTGACTCTGGGCCTGTGTCAGCTCCACACTGGCAAATTGAGCATCTTACGCTTCAGAGAAATATCCATGTTTTACCCTTGTCCCTGATTAGTCTTCCTTTCAGCTCTTTTAAAAGGATGCAGTCTGCCCTAAAACTAAGCTCCTCTTTCTCTTGCCAAATACTAGCTTATTTTCAACTGCTGCCAGCTCTTTAGACAAGGACTCTAAATCAGACAGTGTGTCACGTCTTCCCCTGTCATCTCAAGGAGAGAAAACCCACTACCTGCTAAGGTGGTCTGTGAAGGGCCACCATCGGTAGCAACAAGCCTGAAACAGTCCACTGCTCTCTGTCTCTTTGAGTACCAACCACCCTGACCACCCTGTGCATCTTCCATTGGGACTACTGGTCTCCCTGCCTCCACCATTGCCCCCTGTAGTCTGCTTCCACAAAGCAACCGAGGGATCTTAAAAGATGTAAATCAGATCTTTCCAGCCTCCTGCTTTGTACCCTTACTGTCTGCTGCAGTACAAATAGAATCCGCTCAGGCTGAGAGCTTCGCGTGTCTACCCCGGCCTACATTTCCTCTCTGCTGCCAGCTAGCTCACTGTACTCCTGCCACATTGGTTTCTTTCCATTTCATAAACCTAATTAAGCCACTGCTACCTTAGGACTTTGCACTAGCTGTCTCCTCCCCTGGAATGCACTTCCCCCTAATCTTCACAGGGTAGGCTTCTTGTCATTCACAGCTTTGCTTGCATATTCCCTCCTCAGAGAGGCATTTGCAGACCCCCTGATCTGTGGTACTCATCATTACCTGATACTTATTCACACGTTATCTGCTCTATCTGAGCAGAGACTAGTCTGTCTTCTTGACTGGAACATTCTCAGTGTTTAGATTAGTACTCCTATGATGGCATTCAGTGAGCTGTTGAATAAATGAGTCATGGCCCATTATGCCTTAAGCTTGCCCTTTAGCCATTTGTTTCCTCCGATTTCTTTTTCTAGTCACTCCCATATTTAATTATCAAGATTTAATTTATTTAGACCATCTAAAATCAGTGGCTTGACAGAACCAACCATAATTTGTGGTTAGTTTATAACATTAGTGTGGCTGTATTCACTGATTGAGACAGGCATCATAGTGACTAAAGGTATAGACTTTGGAGCCAAGCTTCCTAGGTTCAAATCCTCTGAGATTTACAGAGTAGGGGACACTTTGGGCAGGTTACTTAACCCTCTGTGCCTCACCTGGAAAAAGGTGGAGAGTAACAATATCTACCTTATTGAGTTCTGAGGACTAAATGAGTTGGTAGATATTATAATAGTTAGGATAGTATCTGGCACATGGTAAATGTTAGATAAAAATTAGCTCTTTTTGTTATTAATCTAAGAAGTAAAAAGTACCATCATGTTGAGCTTGGGAAGGGGTTTGAGGAGATACATTAATTGAGTACCTGCAACACATAATGTGATTTGTCATTTACTTATCTCACCTTATGAGTATTATCTTCATATTCTACATGAAGAAACGTGTTTCAAAATGCTAAATAGTTCACATGGCTATTGAGTGCTTGAGACAGTATTTAAACTGAGATCTGACTTCAATGCTCATGTTCCCTCCATCACATTACACTGCATTTTTAGAGAAAACAATTTTCTGGACTTTTCTTGAAAATTACCTTTTGGTTAGGTTTGGGACTTGTTTTGAAACCTAAGCCTCTTTCATTAATTTAGGATACTATAGCAGAATTCAATGAGGACTCCCTGGAGTTTAGCCTATTGAGTTGTATTTTAAAATACTAGGATTCTACTTAGTAGAAAAAAGCAAACTAATGCAGGGGAAAAAAAATAGAAGAAAGGAATGAAAGTAACTATAACTATAGTTTTCTGATACTATAGTAAAACAAAACTTGGTTATAAATAATAGAAACCCAAGTCAGATTAAAGTTGAAGCATTAGGGCGCCTGGGTGGCTCAGTTGGTTAAGCGACTGCCTTCGGCTCAGGTCATGATCCTGGAGTCCCGGGATCGAGTCCCGCATCGGGCTCC